CTCAAATTCTTCAAATTTGGACTACCCAACAAGAAAAAATAAAAATGTAGCACCCTAGTATTTGGACATTCCAAATTTATCGAAATATCAGTATAGCTAGGTCATAATGAAAGGAACATCGTAACTATATATTTTTGGGCATGCCGATATTAAACATATGGGACCAACCACATACGGATGTAAAGCGAGTGCCAACTTGCTCAAATAATGAAGTGGATACTGTAGAAAGAAAATTGGCTTCATAATTGATTTGTGTGGAAATTGATAGCCTTTAACCAATGATTTTTATGACAATGTTCTACAAAACTCGTTTAGGCGGCGCTCGCCTAGACTCAAAAGTCGGGGCAAAACGTCTCGCTTCGCGCCTAAACGTCTTTTTTTTTCAACTCTTAGGAGACTAAATTTTGTCATTCTTCTCTTTCGCCTTCCCTATGCACGTTTTATTATTTTTTTAATTTTTTCCCTTTTTAAAAGTCTTTTATTTTAGTTTAGCTTATTATTTTTATTATTTAAAAAAGTTTTTCATTTGACTTTAATTTCAATTTTTAAAGATTTTATCTGTATAAAAGTTAAAAATAACTTTATCTAAATAGTTAAATAAGATTTAAGCTATGGTGCAATCTAAATTATGTAACTATGAAATTGAGACTCATTATTTTGTTGCAAACTTCAAAATCATGTATAAAGTTCTTATAAATCTATTAGGTAAAGTTTGTCTAGTTGAAAATTGAAATTATGAAAAATATTATAATTTTCGCATTTCAAAAACTTGAAAATTGTATAATTCACTAATGTTGTGAATTATTAAGTAAATATAATATTGTATAATTTTAGATGTTTGATATGTATTATTTTTATTATCAAATGATTAAAAATTTAAAATAATATTAAAAATAAGAAAACACTTTTTTACACATATGTCTCGCCTAGGCTCACTTAAACTCGTAAAGTTTGAAACTTCGTCTTCACGCATAGTCACGCTTTACGCTTTTTAAAACACTTACGATTATTCTACTAGGGATGACAACGATTCGGTTCGGGGTCGGTTAGGCCAAAATCATAACCGCGCCACCAAATTTTTGGTCATACTATAACAGCATCATAACCACGTAAGTCGGTTCAGTTCGGTTCGATTAATAACCACAAAAATAAATTATTTTTTATAAGTCCAAACTCCAACCGTCAAATTGAAAAAAAAAATTATGAAAAAAAATCAATAAAAACAAAAACACAATACTAAACCAATTTAGCAAACAATATCACAACTTCCAAATGCAAAATTCAAATTTAACAGACAATATTATTAACATATATCAAGACTCTTACTAGCATAGGTCAATCTTCATTCTTCCCCACAACTCTTACTAGTACAGGTCAAGAAAATGCAATCAAGTATAATGTATCTAGGTTTTGTTGAATTGTACAGGGAAGATGATTTGAAGCCAATCGATGCAGAACAACTCAGGGAGTGTGCTCACAAGATGGTAGATTTCGTTGCTAATTACTACAATTTGAAGCTGAGGTACAGGCAGCAAAGCGCTGACGGATCTGATTTGGTTCATTAGTTGAGTGGACGAGTAGGGCTGGACAAAATGTCCGAACCGAACCGAACGGGTTTTCTTAACTTAAAAACCCGAAGAACCGATAACCGAAGAACCGAAAAATTTTGGTTCGGTTCTCAGTTCTAGACTTAGAACCGAAGAACCGAATAAGACCGAATTTTTTTTGATAAATCAATTTATTTTATTTTTTCTAAACAAATTAACAATTTTTTGTTTTAACTATTTGATATATATATATATATATATATATTCCTTAACCTAACACGGGTTTAATTTTGGGCTAGTTTGTAGTTTTGTTTTTATTTCCTATTGTACTTAGTTTAGATTGGGTTTGATTTCAGTCTTGGGCTAGGCTTTAGTTGATATTTTAGCCATTCATGATTGGGTTTAGGGTTTAGTTGCTAAGATCGAACTTCGTATTTGTATCTACTTCTTGTTATTAAGTCCTGTTTGGCCAGCATTCTTGTGAAGAAAAAATGAAGAATTGGACCATTTTTTTCAAATTAGTGGGCCCCTCCCTTTCACAAGTTGGTCAAATATTTCGGCTGGCCCCATGTCTAACGGTAAGAAAATTTCTAGAAATGGGAAAAAAATGCCCTCCAAACAGGGGCTAATATTAGTATCTACTTTCAGGTGTATTTATGTAGTATTATTTTAAATATTAAAAAATTTAATTATAGTACGGAACCAAACGGAACCGAACAAAACCGAACCCGAACGGTTCCAAAATTATATTTGGAACCGACGGTTCCATTTACTAAAGAACCGAAAATTTCTGGAACCGAAAAAAATCGAATCGAACCGACCCGCGTCCACCCCTATGGACGAGTGTTTTGTAAGTTTGGTTTTCAATTTTCACTTTTAACGTGTAGGATTAGAGTTGGTTACTGAGTTAATAATTTACTAGTAATATTGATTAGGCCAGAATTTTGGGAAAATCCAATTGTCAAAATTGCCCAATTAATTTTGGGAAAGAATAATGAAAAGCTCAGTTGCAAAATTAATTTTTTTTAACGGGTAATCGGTTCAAGCCGGGGCACTGTTGCTAAATACCAATTAATTCTACCTCTATTGGTATGTAATCAAATCATGCACTAATAGGGAAAATTTTAAAGAGCAAGTTGATCAACAAAAATCATTAACTATAAAAATCATCCATATCATAACTAAATCATCACGAAAATATGCCTCACTTCAAATTTTCATGCAACAGCCAACATGATGATTTAACAAATATTTTGACGAATTCCTTTGTCGCTAACTGTGCAATTATAATAAAAATTTGAGAATTCACTCGCTCTTTCAAAGGTTGTAGAGTAACTTCAAGCAATAAATTGGGGTCTAATAATAAAATTTGTCCAATGCGACAATACAAAAGGAAAAATTACACAAATAGTCCTAAATTTATGGCCTAAGGAACAGGTTCTCCAAACTTCAAAAATAAAGAATTTTAATCCTAAACTTGTTAAATAATCGCAAATTCGCAATAAGAGAGAGTGCAAATTGTAACGACTCAGACCTCATACTCGACCATTCTCTTGCATATCGTCCGCTCTGGAAGAGCCTGAGCCCATATTATTCCTTACGGATTTCTATCACGTCCTCCAAGATTCGAACCAAAACTTCTGTCTTATAAGAAAATTAAGTTAAATCCTAGTACAATCCTCTTTTCGAGATAACAATACATATGATATAACGACTTCAGCACAGAGACTCGAGTTGTTGCACAAATTGGCTTCTCACCTCATTTGTGTAGGAGCACACTAAGGGTGCGTTTGATTGTAATGGTGGAAAATAGGTGAAAAGAAAATGATTTTCAGGGAAAATAATTGCCTAAAAATTATTTTGTAGGGAATTGTTAATTAAGTGTGTTTGATTGGTATAATTTTTCACCCGGAAAATTTTTAAATTTTATGCTCGTTTGACTTTATTTTACATGAAAATTGTCCATTAAAGTGATAATTTTTTTCACAATTGGTTATAAAATTTATTTCCATTGCCAAAAAGTAAAAAAGAAAATGAAAAAAAAAAGTTGTTTCCGACAAAATCATTTTTTTATCAAAATTTAGTNTTGTTTCCAACAAAATCATTTTTTTCATCAAAGTTTAGTATTCGTGACTTTGCTTTACATGAAAATTGTCCATTAAAATAATTTTTTTTTTTTTTACAATTAATTATAACATTTGTGAATGTAACTAAAAAAAAAGGAAAAAAAAAAAATTAGCTGGCTGCTTGGAAAATCATTTCCAACCAAAAAGTTGGGAAATGATTTTCAGCCAAAACCAAGAAAATCAGCGTGTATACTGGTGGCTGGGAAAACATTTTCCCTGGAAAAAGTTGGCTGTCAAACAGCCCAAAAGCAAGAAAATGGAAAAAATTTTCCTTTTTCCCTGGAAAAAAGTGGCTGCCAAACAGGGGCTAAGATTATGCTTTATGAGGGCCATATTTTTGTTCAGTCCAAGGTATCCAGACCATGCATCATGCACAAGACCATTTCTATGAAGCCGCTATTCTGGTATGCTTTGATTAGAGCCTTTACAATGGTTCATCATATTTTGTGGTGGTGATAAATTTAGTATGATGTACAGAAAGGCATTGGAAAACAAATTAAGAACAAAGACATGCAATGTTCAATTCACATTCTAAACATGCCCATAAAAGACTTAGCACTGCATTTTATCAGTTGTCTACTTAGTGCAATTCACATTTACTAATAGAACTCCTTACTACCGGCAGTATTAATTCAAGATCCATAATGCAGCCATGTGCACTCATGCTCATATCCAAAAGATAAGAACATGGGATTTAAAGTTTTCATAGCAACATATATAAAAGTCGAAATATGAAATAGATATGCATAGCTACTTTTTCTGCAGATTTAAAAAGGATCTAATCAGTAATGAAAGAAAAATTCAAGTATCTTTGTGGTAAGGTCCTAGCTTTAACTAGGTTCACTCAACTTTATAGTTTACTATGCATATAGATCTATTTTAGTTTTTATTCTGTGATTTATGCTTCCATTTGCCCATGGGTACAAGTAAAACAATGGCCCTTGGGCATTTTTCTCTCCCTTTTTCTTGTATCTTGCAGTTTATTTCTCCCCTTCTCACTAAATAATTCTTAGGAAGAGATCCCATTTAGATGTGAGAATAATGGACATCAAGCTGAATATATTGTCAGGCACGTCAATTAATAACAAGCTCCAAAAAGGCATTAGCAAAACAAACACGGGATCAGTCCCAAAAACCATCGACTTCATAATGAAAGCAACTAATGTACTTGTGTATACATGTATTCCAAGTATCCCTCAAGTACCTAATACAAGTGAACTTTCAACTTGAATATAATGCAGCCTTACCACGTCTCCGTAAATTTTGGACTTAAATAGCCAATAACAGGAAAAGTCAGAAATTCTGAGAACTAGCGTGCCAAATGCCATTAAACAGTTGCCTCGTTGACATTTTTGCTTTTCCTTAACCTCTTACGTTTTCTACTCCTGTTTCTCGTACTGTTATCAACAATCTTGCTTTCCTGCAATCAAATGTCGTCACAATATTAAATAAAAGCAACAAAAATACAGGACAAGAAATGGCTTCTGATCAGTTGTGTACCAGTAGAAGCCCCCATTCCCCTCCCACGCCCATGTGCATGTGCACTTACAGCGGGCTATACAAGATCCACAATTCGAACTGCCTTATGAAGAATAAGCAATCTCACTATTGTTCAGTTATTCTATTAAACAGCTTATTGTCTACAAAGCACGGTATCAATTATCAGAGATGCGAATAACTAGGCATTCCAAGATATGCAAATGGCAATTCTGGTGGGGCTAGTACAGGAGTCCTTTCATAGTAGACTTGTTCTCCCACGTGCTATAAGTAGGAGCTAAGTAAGCGGACAGGGGGTCATCCATCCACCAATCCATTTCACCTCCATCCCCCCACCCCACCCCCACTCCAAAAGAAAAATAAAAGAAAAAAGAGAGAGCAATCCACAACCAAAAAAATTAAAGATCACCCATTACTTGTATATCCTTACACTTTTTAGTCCATCCAATCAGAGGCCAAGCCTAGTCTTCTAGTCTCAACAACTCTCTTGCTAGTTGCATGCTTTTATATAAGCACTTGTACAGGGCATGCAGTTACCTTTTTATAAATATTAAAGTAATCGTTTTACTTTCATTATTTTGTCCAGCCTATTTCACAAAAAAATAAGAGAAATTGGTCAAATGCTTCACTTGAACATTTGAGTAAACCATTGACATTCATATAACATTTTTCTTTATATATAAATGTTTACATACATGACATTCTGATTTCTAATTATCCACCTTTAGAGATACCTTTATCAGTAAGTGCACGCAGGAATCGAGTTATTCTAGGTAGGCAAAAGGAAGTCAGACAGTAATTAAAAGATTACTATTTTTTTTATGCACTAAGGGGTAGTTCTTCTGTTTTGCAGGTTCATGGGCTTGGATATTCTTTTTTGGAAGTTTAGTACAGCAAATCAGGTGCAGACCTATCTGTAGGAGGGCCAGAAATTGGGCTGGCATGGACATACTCATCTGACACCTTGTTTTCTGATATGACACCCTAAATATCCAGACCAATAAGCAGCTTTCAGACACCACACTATTTATTAAGCCCCTATTTGGTCCAGATTAAAATCTGATTTTAATCCAAGTCAAAGTCAAGCAATCAATATTAACCACATCTTTCATGGGTCCCACAACTTTTTAATCACACATTTCAAAAACTTCTATCACAATCTACTAAAAATTTCAATATTAACCACATCTTTCATGGGTCCCACAACTTTTCAATCACACATTTCAAAAACTTCTATCACAATCAAATTTTAATCTCCACCAAACACCCTCTAAGAATCTAAGATGACATGAGGAAAACCCTAATCATGTCAATCAAGTTTCCCAACAATTAATAGAAATTCTTCTGAATTACCTCATATAAAATTTGGTGGATTACATATATGTTATCCAAGTAGCAGTATACTCTTGAGTACATCTTAAGTTTGGGGCAAATGTTCAAAGGCAGGATAAATAAGCTATATATGAAAACCCACTAATAACGACCCACCTTTTCTGAAGAAGCATTTTTATTCTCATCTGTCTTCTTCTTCTTGCACGATAGAGGGTTGGGACCCTGCAATGCACAAAACAAAGAATAAAACATCTGCTTGTTGAGACATCCTGCGAAGGTGTGTCATGTGTTTACATCAATTACTACAATATGTTTAGCATTTATATTACAACCAACTTGCATTGAGAACCTAAATCCATGCCCATTTACAAGTAGCAGCAATAATTGAAAGCAATAAGGACTTAGAACAACACAGATATGGACTTGGAATCAAAGCCTTTTCCTCTCTCCCTTTGTCCCCACTCCCCAGGACTGGAATTGGACACAGTTTATCGGAGGGAAAGACAATATAATGAATCTTACCTTAGCTCTCTTTCGCTTGAACTGAACCTGATCCTTCACATTTGTTCTATCTCTTTTAATGTTTGCCTTGACAACCTGAGTATCTAATGCATGATCTTCATTGCTTTCATTTGCATTAGAAGCATCCGCTGCTTCCTCAATTGCTGCTTTCTTCTTTTTCTTCAAAATATTATACTCCCACTCATTCATATGTGATCGTTCTTCTTCAGCAGTCTTGGCAAACTGGTGCTGAAATCCTGATGGCCGCTCAAGAAAGAGAGAATTTCTAAGAGCATATATTACAGGCACCCCAGGGATCTGCCACCATAAGTTGTTTCAAAATTAAAATCAATATGGATGTATTTCCATATGGGTTACATCAATCTGACAAAAAACTTAAACTAGGATTAAACCTTTTTAACTTGATGCACTTGAACACACACACGCACACACTGGAGAACTAGATGTTTGAACCATTAAAATTGTCGTAGTATTAAACCCAATTGACATATATTAGGAGGGAAAAAGCTGTAGAAACCTCTTGCAACTTCTTCCTTAACTCAGCATCCTGAGTTGCAACAAAGAAATGCTCAGGATTCTTTTGTCCAATAACTTCTGTTATGCATGCCACCGCACTCTTTCTCTTATCATGATCACATCTGTGAAACAGGTTCCATGCATAGAATAGATCAGCTCAACTAACTAATAAATACTGTGGGGGTAGACTTCTTAACTTGCGTAATTTTGTATACTGCCGTATTTGTTTGACAAAGACAATGAAAATAGAAGTATCTGAAAAATAAATCCATTAACTATCTTAGTTCAAGTCACACACTCCCATAATCCATTTTCTCTTCAGTGAATTCCCAGCAACGTGAGACTTGGACAGATTCGTATTGGATTTTTACATCCATTATATTATATTAATATAGGAATGAAGGTGCTCTGGGCTCGACATTGTTTGTTCTGTTCTAGTTGGTAAATCTAGGTGCTGCAAATGATATTGAAGTAGGAAGAGGAATTGAACTTTTCTCGGGGTGAGTGCAACCCTCATGTTTAGTTGCCATAACAGCCTGATTGAGAGATGGGGGAAAAGAGGGCTGACCTAGCAGTTATAAGATTACTGGCAGCATTAAACGATTCAGAGTACGAGTCACCAAGGCTTTTCAACTCTGCAAGAACACATCTGTGACCAAAAAGTTGAAAATGTATTAACTTAACAAATAAAGTATTTGCTCCAAGTAAGCTCAACCTTCTAAGTGCATAAGATGAGAAGCAAAAAAATTTAATATTTGAATAAATGGGGAAACGTTACTGGTGCAGTTATCTGAATTTCAAATTGTATTCAAGTGGTCAAATCAAAATCCCATCTAACCTTGTAGTGAAGATTTTGACTGTGGCACCAAGGATATTAGCTAGAGCAGTATCAGCTGGAATGATGCGGTTCACAAGAAGATGGTACACAAAAGTTCCATCGCAAAGAACTTTGAAGGGCTCTCTAAACCCGAAGCAAGCTGTGTAAAATCTCACAGCTCTGCGATGTCGCTTTTGCTTCTTCACCTTCATCTTTCTAATAACGTAAAACAGACTGATTTTAATAGCACAAAACTAGAATTAAAAGAGAAGTTGAAGAACAAACAATAATTCCATGTGTGTATGCACTGTGCACACACAGTCTGCCAAAGTTATTGAGAATTATAGATGAAGGAAAAAATATGGTAATCTAACTCATAATCTAAAATGCTGATTGCATCAGAATAATCAAACAAGAAAGGGGCAAAAAAACTAAATTCATATTTTTTAGGCCAAAAAAGTGGGATAAAGAGAAAAAATCACCTGATTATAATCAATTATGTTTCAGCAGAAAATAGCAAATAAACGAAAAATAAAAAATAGAAGATTGGATTTTGGAACTCTAAGCTATAGAGAGGGGAGGTCGACAGGTGAGGGTTTAATCCCAAACCCTAAGATTCCATATGGACCGGGTCGGATATCTTATATACAGGTCAGTCCAAACACGAGTTGGGCCTGTATATAGTTTGGAGTGAAAATTAGACCGCGACCCAACTTTCGTAACTCAACTTTATACAAATAGTTTTATTGATTTAAAAGATAATAATTCTAAAATTAGGTATTCATCAAAATTAAATTAATCTCTCTCATCTCTATCTCTCGCGAGCTCTCTGTCACACTCTCTCTCCCCCCTAGTCTTGCACCATCATCACCGAAGCTCCGGCCAACAAGGCTGCGCACAGCTGCGATCAGCCGCTTGAAGCGCCTGCTAAAGGCAGAGGAAATGGCAGTATTGGTCGTCAAAGCCTCTTCCGCATTGCCCAAGAGTGTTGATAAAAGTCGGTTCTACCGGAAAATATTGGTGTTTCCCTGTGAGAATAATCTGAAGACATTGAGGAAGAGGCCCAAATCGGTAATGCCGGGATCAGAAGTGGGAAACTGAAGAGAAATTCGAGTATGATTTTTTGGGACATTAATTTTTTAAATAATGTCCAAAAGGTTATTTATTCTTTATACCCAATAAGTGTTAGATGGATTCATGGTTTTGGGGGGCTGCTGTGAAATGGGGCATGAATTTTTGTGTTGTATAGGGATTGAAAATTTGGAGCTTTAGGGATGCTATTCTTACCAGATTTGATAGCGGGGTTGGTTGATTTCAAAAAAGGGCTCAAAGTGGCGGTTGGAAGTGGTTTTTGTGATGGCAGCGATTTTGTGGTAGTTTTGTGATGTTTTGGCATTGGTGATTTTATTGGTTGTTGGGTTGTAAGTGGTGGTAGTGCGATAGTTGTGGTTGTGGTAGAGTATTGGTGGTGAATCAATGTCCACGGGTCGTGATGATGGCGGTGTGTAAGTCACGGTCAATTGTATTTCTATGACCAAATCTCTTGAATACGTGACATATCAAAGTGCTGGGGTCACATGTTAGTGCACAGGTCACATATTCAAGAGATTTAATACAAGCTATTGGATGAGGTCATAGGTCATAGATTCAAGAGATTTGTTCAGTACTTTGGATCAGGACACCGTCACATGTAACAGGGACACGTGTCAAAATGCATAGGTCACAGGTCACGAATTCAAAAGATTTGATTACATGCCCAAGAGATTTGTTCACAAGTCATTAAATCAGGTCATAGGTCACATGTCAAATGCATTGGTTACTAGTCACGAATTCAAGAGATTGCCATAGACCATTGGCTCAGGTCACATGACACAGATTCAAAATATCTGGTCATATGTCATTAATTTTTCCGACCTCGGTTATCTGAACTGGTTACAAATTTAATTAACCAGATTTTAAATGTGAGAATTGAAGTTATTTACTTCGTTAAGTACTCAGTAAATTACACAATAAGCTATTTTTCAATTTTAAATTTTAAATTATATACATGCTGAGTCGTGAATGAAGAAGATGATCAATCTCTGACGATCAGTTCATCACTGAAGATGTCGTCAAACTGGGTAGATGTCAACAGGTGGGGTAGGGGCGGCTGTTTGGTGTGGTGGGTGTAAGTATATTAATTTAAACAGAAACCTGACTTTTGAATTTTGAAACTTAATGTCCGAGAATTGCTTTGTTGCATATTTAATAGCTGAGAAGTGAATTTTTCCCTTGTTTGAATTGTTTTGTTGTGGAAATTATACTAGTTAGAGCATCCCCAAAAGAAGGGGTGGGGCATGGGTTGGGTCAATTTTTGTCCCAATCCAACATTGTCGATTTGATCTAAAATCAAACAAACCCAACCCCATTTATGTGTTTCAACACAACTCAATCAAGTTTTGGTTGTTGGGTTGGTCGGTTTGAATAATAAAAACATAAAGTACAGCAAACAATTTGGTAAACAGAAAACAAAAGCAGAATTTAAAAATTCTGTCAAAAGCAAATAACAGAAGCAGCGCATGGCTAACGATTTTAAAACAGAAGCAGATTACAGAAAATAGAAGCAGAATTTAAAAAAATGAAGCAAAGTTATATCCCCAAAACCTAAAGCAAGGAAATCAGACATGAATATACTTCCCAAAAAAATGCAGAAACATGAACAGAAAACAGAAGCAGAACTTAAAAACAAAAAAATGCAGTCCGCTGTTATTTATTAATGATTGTGAATCTGTGACAGTGGCGGACATGGCACAAAACTTCAGCTCGGGCAGAAGTTTACGATTTATCATCCACAATCAGCGATAGTAACAACGATGTCGTTTATTAATATTTAATTAAAAAACATTAAAATAAGACTAAGCTTAAAAATTTTTACTTACAAGTTTATTTAAGTAAAAAAGCTAACACCAAATGACATTAAATATTACGAGGACAAGTAATAGATGCCATTATTCAAATTACAAAATCCCCACTCCAAAATAAAGATATTCTAAAAGAGCTCATGAAGGATGATTGTTCGCTAGGGTTTGTAATTACTAAATCCTGCATTAGGTTCTTGATTGAATTTCCAAAGCAACTTGAAGGTTTCTATAGGTGTCTTTAGCTGACTTGGTTAGTATAACTTGCTGTAATCTGCAATGGGTGAGGAGAGCCTACGGCTTGGTTGGCTTTCTTTTGGTTTGGCCCTGGTTCTGAATGGAGAGGACAAAAGTGAAGGTTGTGGGAACTCCCACCTCGTATCATATTGCGATGATTTTGGTGGTACAAGAAATCACAACGTCTATCTCAAAATCCTCAAACCAACCCTTCAATCTCTTTGAACCTACTCTTACATAAACAGGTTTTGCATTATTACAACGTATCCCTTTATCAACTGAAAGAAGAGGCAGGAAAAAAAAAAAAGAACCGGGAACAGGAACAGGAAGGCTTACCGGTAGGCGGTAGAAAGAGGCGGCGGCAGCGGGCAGCACAGCAAGTCAGCAACCGGCAGGCAGTGGCGTTGGCAAAACGCCGGCAGTAGAGCAGGGAGAAGGAGAACTACGAAGGCGAAGGCGAAGGCGAAGGCGAATGCCAAGGCGTGAACTGTGAAGGGAAGGGTTTGGACTGATGAATATTGTTTCATTTTATTGGGCCAAATTTTTAAGAAAAGCCCAACTATCTCAGCCCAAAATAAATGGGCCAAAACTATAAAAAAAAATGGCCCACCTGCCTGAAATAGTGGTCTTCCTCATGTCCTCTCTCTCCTGTCCGCAACACAGGACTGGAACAATGACCCGACGGTGCCGATAGTATTGAAGACTCAGACGGATCTAGCACAGGCAGCCCCCTCGCCGGGTGCTGGGTCCGCCCCTGATCTGTGATGAACATGAATATACTTCCCAAATATGTAAAGTGGGTTCAAGCCGTCAACTTCAAACGTGTAATAGAGTCTGTAATATACTTCCCAAACATGTAAATTAACAAAAAATTATAGACAAATCAAGAATAAAGAGTACAGGCAAAGTAATTGGAAGAGATTGACTTAGCATCAAGTTGTAACCTTCAAATGTGATTCGGTCAGAATTTGATGGAGAATCAGCAACTATGGCCATGACGACCTGAGACCGGCTTAGGCGACTAAAAAATGGCGATGTGGCATGGGCGATTTGATCGAAAATAAGGTCAGCAGTTGGCTTGAGCGAGAAAGAATGAGAGAGCCTCTGATGTTTAGATTATAGGTTACTACTTGTTCACCGATCTTTAAAAAGTTACTCTTTACAAACTGAACTTTGCTATAGGTTATTACTTAATCATCGAAATTTAAAAAGTTATTCGTTGCTCATCCAAATTTTAACAAAGTTACCTATTAATCACTCATATAATTTCCATTAATGTTACCTATAGTAAGGTTCGGTAAACAATGAGTAACTTTGTTCAAATTTAAGTAACAAATAACATTTTCAATTTCAGTTAGCAAGTAGTAACTTATAGTAAAGTTCAGTGAGTGACGAGTAACTTTTTAAAGATCTATTAGCAAGTAGTAATTTATACCAAAGTTTAGTGACTATTGATTAAATTTTTTAAAGATCGATGAGCAAGTAGTAATTTATACCAAAGTTTAGTGACTATTGATTAAATTATCTCGAAAGTTTTTACATTTTGATTTAAAAATTTTTTTTTTCAATTCTTTTAAGTAGGCATGTTGGGTTGGACAGTTTTTATCGATTTTGATGAGTCAAACCATAACCAACCCTTGGAAGAAGCAAAAAATATCGAAAACATATAGATCTCTTTAATTGTCAATGACGGCTCATGGATCTTTTTACCCTAATTTCTTTAATTCTTGATGTGAACATGTATATGCATTTCATTAAATTATTCAAATTATACTCAAACCCTTTTCATTTTCTTCTGGAAAAGCATATTTTTATTACTCCTAAATTTTTTAAATGCTAAAAAATAACTAAAAATGTCAATTGAATACACCCCCTAAAATGGACTGTTGGGAAATAAAATGGATCGAGATAATATATACGACAAAATATGAAGTATATGACTGCAAACAAACAACAAGATAAAAGACAAAGAATTAATTGACAGATAATTGAGTATTTTATTCAATTGACTAATATTGAGAAAATAAATACAATAATTATTCTATATTTCAATAATACAAAACTTGTGAAAAGAGTCTAATATTTATCAAAGTGGATGTCAAACCTTAAAAATACCACAAAGATGGAAACTAAATCAAAAATCACGTGAAATAAAGAAAACAATATTTTTTTTCAATGTTTTTTTCCAATAAAAACAAGTTCAAAAAAGGGAAAAAAATTCTCAAAAAATTCCACCTAATTTGGGTCAAAACAATCCAATAATCCCCAACGTGACACAAATTTCGATGCAGCGAACGAAGGTTTAAGATTTTTCCACTTGGAAAAATAAATCCAATTACAACGAAAAATTCGAACTTTTCAACAAGAACCAAACTTTCTATAACACAAAAATATTCCTCATCTTTCACGATATCCAACACGGATACATAAACCCAAACACCGAGTTCATCAAAATTTATAAAGAATTATGAATTACCAAATAATGTCAAGCACACCCTGTAGCAGAATCAACTCTCGATGCTTTCATAGAAGGCTCCTGTTAGTCTCAACACCTTAAAAAATGCTAAAAGCATATGCAACTGAATCAGCATCCTCCAATCTTCAATGGGTCATCCCTAGTAGTTATATACGAAGGAACTGCAGGTAATGGTGGCAAAGCGAAATTACCCATATCCTCCAAACTCGACTGATTAGTATTTTTCAATATGAACTTCGAACCAAATTCCAAAGGTACAGTACCAAACTGAATCTCCACCACGGTACTAAACTAGTGCTGATTTTTCTTCACAAATTTTGCCTGACCTTGCAATATGTATAACTGGACATTTTCCCGCCCCTCCAAAATAAACACGAACACCCTTTCGAACCCTCAAGACTCCACCTCCTCCAAAGAACGTGTATCCTTTTGAATCAAGAATATTCAAGGAAATGAGATTATTCTTTAAGTTTGGAATATGTCGAACGGGATCAAGTGTTCTACATGTTCCATCCACTAGTTTCAATCTGACTCTACCAATAACAGCTACCCGATAAGGTGCGTTGTTACCCATGATAACGACACCTTGCACCATCGTTTCATATGCTTTAAACAAATCCTGTGATACATACGAAATGCACAAGCTGTATCTAAAATCCACTCATCGTCAGGTTTGAATTTCACGTCAGAAATCGTCAAAACATCTCCATCACTCAAATAGTTCTCAACTATGTTGGTCTCGTTTGAAGTATTTGATTGCTTCCCATGATATGCAGTCAAATTATCTTTTTTCTACAATTTGTCACAATCCCTCTTAACGTGTCATTTCTTCTTGCAATAATAACAAACTTGATTACTGAAATTTGACCTCGACTTACCTCTTTTCCGATCATCATGAACAATAAGGCATTCTCCATCTCTAACCTCAGATCCAACCAGATGATTCATCTGCTCTTTTGAATCTGACTCTACCAATAACAGCTACCCTACAAGGTTCGTTGTTACCCATGATAACGACACCTTGCACCATCGTTTCATATGCTTTAAACAAATCCTGATTGTGATACATATGGAATGCACAAGCTGTATCTAAAATCCACTCATCGTCAGGTTTGAATTTCACGTCAGAAATCGTCAAAACATCTCCATCACTCAAATAGTTCTCAACTATGTTGGTCTCGTTTGAAGTATTTGATTGCTTCCCATGATATGCAGTCAAATTACCTTTTTTCTGCAATTTGTCACAATCCCTCTTAACGTGTCATTTCTTCTTGCAATAATAACAAACTTGATTACTGAAATTTGACCTCGACTTACCTCCTTTCCGATCATCATGAACAATAAGGCATTCTCCATCTCTAACCTCAGATCCAACCAGATGCTTCATCTGCTTTTTTGAAAACAATGCATCACACGCATCTTCAATTGTAAGAGTATCACGATTATACAAGATCGTGTATCTAAACGAAGCGGGCAGCGAATACAAAAAGGATTAAGGCCAAATCTTTTTCTTCATACTTTACATCTAAAGTCTTCAAATCAGCGACGATCTCCTTGAACACAATTAGATGATTTTCCAAAAATCAGCTTTCAGTCATGCGATGAGAATACAACCCCTGTTTCAGATGCAATTTGCTTGTTAGAGTTTTAATCATGCATAATTGCTCCAACTTCAACTACAACGCAGCTGCCGTTTTCTCCTTCAAAACATCCTGAAAAATATTGTCAGAGAGATAAAAATGAATATGTGAAAGTGTCTTCCAATCCTTTCGTTGTTTATCCTCCGTCGTCCAAGTTATGGGCATTTGTCAAATCCCAATAATGAATCATCCAAATTCATCTGTGCGAGTACAGCCCGCATGTTCACTTGTCATAATGAAAATCTTGTATTGCGATCTAAGAGCGGAATTTCATACTTCAAGACTGCCATCAATAACAAAAACCTTGAACAAATCACAATCAATTGCTCTGATACCACTTGATGGGAAATAAAACGGATCGAGATAATATATATGACCAAATATGAAGTATATGATCGCAAACAAACAATAAGATAAAAGACAAAGAATTAATTGACAAATAAATGAAGTATTTTATTCAATTACTAATATGGAGAAAACAAATCGAATAATTGTTATATTTCAGTAATACAAAACTTATAAAAAGAATCTAATATATATAAGTGTAGATGCCAAACCATATAAATATCACAAAGATGGAAATAAGATAAAAAAAAAAATTACGTGGAATAAAGGAAACAATATTTTCCCAATATTTTTCCAATAGAAACACATGCAAGGAAGGAAAAAAATATTTTTTTCAAAAAATCTAACCTAATTTGGGTCAAAAAAATCCAACATAGACTTATAATACATTTTTATTCTTTTTAGACGGTGGGTTTTTTCTTTTTCTGATTATTTTGGGTGGCGAAAAGGAAAATATAAGATCCTTATGACTGGATGGATGATATTGGAGAGTGGAATTGTTTGCAGATTGTTGTATTGTATTGAAAAAGTGGATGGAAGAGCATAAACAGTTGAAAAGGGTCTTGGTTGATGCAATTGTCGGCGTAATTTCTAGGGGTGTCCAAAAGTCCCGAACCGAACCCGAACTGAACCAAACCGAACCGGGCGGTTCTTCATAAATTAAATACTCGAACGGATACCCGAATCGAGAACCGATTGGTTTGGGTCAGGTCTCCGGTCTAGACCAAAAATCGAAAAATCGAATAAGAACCGAAACTAAATAATTTTTTTATTTTTTATATTGAATTAATTAAATTATTTTATTTTTTTCTATACAAATTAGCAAATTAATTAAATAAATCAGATTATTTCATAATTTTAATTTTAAAACCCAAATCATTTTTAAAAT